CGAGAAAGGGGCGCTGGCTGAAACTGAGTGCCGCAGGGCGCGCCTTTGTTTGGGGCGAGCCCCGACGCACCAGGCACACCAGCCCTCCCTCGATCACCACACTGACCCTAGCCGCCTGCATGCCCAACGCGGCCAGCCGCGTCTCCCGGGTGCCGGGTGTTCTGGGACTTCCGTGACCTACCCAGCAGGAGCAGCAGAGCCGGTGCAGGCCGTATCCAAAGCAGAAGAGGGCGATGCAGAGAGCGGCGATGGACAAGACCAGCAGGAGGATCCGGACGCCGTTCAGCATGCACTGGGGAGGGAGTGGGGCTCGAATCAGCAGCAGGAGGGGGCAAGAGGCCGGCCAGCCGGCCGCCCTGCCAAGCCATCTCCCCGAGAGGCCCTGAGCCCTCCCCCCAGCCACTCCGCCAAATTCCTCCTCCGGGCGCTGGCCCCGCATGCTCTGTCTGGACCAGCCGGGGACTCGGGCCCCTTCCTCAGTGGGAGGCAGGAAGAGGAACTGGGAGTGGCCTGGAGGGAGGAGGCCTTTCTGCTGTGACCGGTGCGCGGTTGTGTATGGGAACTTCCTCCCAGTGGCTGAATACCTGGAGCCACCTGTGGCAGGTGGGCGAGCCCCCCTGCCCCTCAGCCTGACAGTCAGGACGTGCCCATCCCTGTGCCAGAGAGAGGCCTGCAGGCAGAGGGGGGCGGGATACTGCGAAGGTCCCCCCCAGGTCTGCCCTCTTCTGAGGGGCACAGCTGCCCTCCTCCCACTCTGGCTCTGCTGCAGGAAGACAGACTCACCATGAGCACCCACATAACCTCCTGGCACTCCTTGGCCCGCTCTTGGTCCCTCTCGCCGCTGTATGGAGGACCGGTGGTCGCGTCCCACGACCGGTAGCGCTCCTCCTCCCTTCTGTGCTTGCACAGGTTCTCAATGAAGTAGGGACGGTAGGTCAGGGATGAGATGTCCGCCACGCCCAGCGTCAAGGCCAGTGAGCCCGCCACGACGCTGGCCAGGTTGAGGAACGTGGCCAGGTGGACCTAAGACGGAGGGGCAGGGCGCAGCTGAGAGTCGGCACCCAGGGCATCGGGTCTTTGCAGCCGGGCGGGGCCGAGGGCCCTCCCCACTTACCCACTTGCCGCCGCGTCGCTCGCCCACCACAGAGAAGGTGCCGGAGAGGATGAACTGGAGAGGGAGTGAAACAGCCAGGTGAGCGGCGTCTGGCTGGGCCTCCCCGCCAGCAGGAAGCGAGTCCCCCTCCCCGGTGCACCGAACTGACTCCTGGGGAAGGCTGCAAGGAGCAGCCCGGCTCCCTCAAACGGGGCCCAGGTTCTGCAGGCGTTCTGGCGTCCTGCCACCTTTGCTTCACCCCCGCCACATCCTCCGCTGCAGCTTCCTGGGGTGGCAAGCTGAGTCTCAGGTGGTGGTCCCCCACTCCTCCCCTCCTCCCCTCCCTGCTCACCAGGCTCCCCATCCAGAAAGGGGCTCCATTCCATATTGCCCGCTCGTAGTCGTAGGGTATCTCCAGAACAAGGCTCAAGACCACGCCGAGACCGATGCACACAGCTCCAAGCAGGATCTGGGCTCCCTGGGGGGCGAGAGGGGAGCCGACAGGCAGCCCCCAGCACGAGAGTCTGGGCAGGGAGCAATGGGGACCGGAAGGCCGTGCGGCGGGGCCGGGGCCAAGAGCATGCTGGGGGACCAGGCTCTCGCAGAGCTAGCTTAGCTGGAGACCCCCGCTAGGCCTGTTTAGCGTTCCCCTCGGCCAGTTCCCTTCTGGATCAGAGCAGGGAGCGGAGCAGGTCAGTGGGTTCCTTTCTGGCTCCGTTCGGGGGCAAAACCCCAAAACGGGCGAATGCGGGAACTGTGCGAGCATCACCGTGCCAGTTTCGGGACTTCAGAGGAGATCTTATGTGGACATAGCGGTTCAGTTCTGGCCCGTTCCTCCGGATCTGGGGCTTAGTGAGGACCCGGACCCGGACCCGGACCCGCCTTTAGCCTGAGGCTCAGCCCCATCGCACACAGCTGCAGAGCTGCCTCTTTCTCGCCTCTCGGCTAAGACTCAAATCTCTGTCGGCCGAGCCCCCCTCCGCTGGACGCCGCTCTGCCCTGCCGGTGACCTCCAGGGTCCGCTGCACGCCGCCCCCGGCCCCTGTCTCCTCTCCCAAGAGCTCGCAGGCGGAGGAGATCCAGGCCGACCCGACCGGCGCCCCAGACCGGCTCCACGCACGCCCCACTTCCTCCTTTGGCGTCCGGCCCTTACCCCCAGCACCTTCTGCTCCCCCCTCCGTCGGGCGCGGGTGGGGGGAGCATCAGCGGGCTCCTGGGCCTTGGAGGCGGCCTTGCGGCGACTCAGGGCCGCCATGCCCTTGCACAGATAGAAGAGGGAGGACTCTTGGCGGAGGTTGATGTTGACGACGGTCTTGTCGGACCCCTGGAGGTCCACCTCGGTCCCGTTCACCCTCAGCGCGGTCCCCGACATGGCTTCCCCTCCTTCCTCGCCGGCCAGCTGGAGGGAGAGAGAGGCAGCTGCCGAGGCAGAGGCGGAAGTGAGAAGCAGCCGAGCGCGCTGGGTGGAGCCAGGCGGGAAAGAGCGCGAGACCCGGACCCCCCGCAGACCGTGAACCCGCCTGCGCCCCTCTGGCTGTTGCGCGCCTGGCGGGGACCGCAGCTCCGTTCGCACCGGGAGGGGGAGGAGGCCTGGAGCGTCTCTGGTTCTGCTCACAACACGCTGGCCGAGGTGCGATTGTGCGTCGTGCAAACAGGCAACTGCGCCAACGTTAGTGGCGTGGGTCACGGCCAGGGCGCTCTGCGAGCACTGCCAATCCGAGAGGCAACTTAATTAAGCCTTGCGGCTTGCGTTCTCATCGGGACCAAAAGGGGACCGCGGAGGTCATCTGGTCCAGCCACCTTCTGGGTGCAGGACAGGCCGCAGCACCTCCGACGGACAACCACCCATCCTCCGCTGGAAGACCTCGAGTAAAGGGGAGGCGGCAGCCTTTCCCGCTGGCGGTGCGGCCGGGGAGTTCCTTCTGCATCGCGCCGAGGCGCCTTCCTCGTATCTCTGCCAACAGCCCCGCCGCCCCGCCGCCCCCCCCCCCCCGGTTCCAGGCGTGCCTTCTCTCTGGGGCGGACGGAGTAAGTCCGCTCCCCTCCGCGGGACACCTTCCAGCGACGGGAAGGCCGCTATATCGCCCTTCTGCAGGCCAAACGTCCCCTGCCCTTCCCCGGGCCCGCAGGGGGCTCGGCCCCTGGACCCTCTGCCATCTGGGCAGCCCTTCTCCGAACCCGCTCCGACCTGCGGTGCTCCTCTGGGCCCCCACAGAGCAAAGGGGGGCTTCCCGTGGCCCACACCCTGCGATAGCGCTGGCCTTTCTGGCGGCCGGGGTCGCAAGGGGCGCCTCCCAGAAGCCGAACCTGACCTTCCCCCCCGTTCATTTCACCCACCGGGGAGGGGATCTCGTGCGGACATTGTGGAGGGGCGAGCATGGAAAGGGCTCTTTGAGGTCCTCGGCTAAAAAGCAGGCCCAGCGGGGGGGCACGGGGCCCGCGTTGAGCTCCGAGGGCTCCCCTGGACCGGCCGCGGGACCCTGGGCAACGGGCACAGGACCCACCCCCTCAAGGGCTCCGCGCCACCCCGTTCGGGGGAGCTGCCCTATTCCCGCCTTGGACGCCGAAGGGCTGCCTCGCCTTTGCCGCCAACGTCCGGGTTTAAACGGAGACGCACCGAGCGCCCGAGGGCATCCCCGCTTTGCCCCGCGATGAAGCTGGCGTTCCTCTCCCCCGCCCCGCCGGAGGTGGCCCGCAGGCATACTCGGCCCTCCAATTTGGTTCCGCGCCGGGCGGGCGGCCGCCTCCCCCGGGCGGGTCCGGGACGCCTGTGCGCGCAGCCCTTGGAGCCGCGGTCTTGCCGCCCTCCGGAGAGCTGCGGCCTTCCGCCCCCGCCCCCCATCCCAAAGCAGGGACGCGGATGGACCCACTCACCGCCGCTCCCGTGAGACAGAGGGACGAAGGGGGCAGGGGCGGTAGCCCCTGCGGCCCGGAGCAAAGATCGGCGGAGGCGCGGCGGCTCCCCTCTCTTGCTCCTCACCCTGCAAGGCGGCTCCGAAGAGAGGAAACAGCGCTTTTTACCTGCCCCGCCAGAGGACGTGGATCCGGGCCAGGGGCTGGAGCTTTGCCTCGGCTTGTTCCCGCCGCGCCCACGCGCGACTTCCAGGAAAAGGGCTTGTCTCGCGCGCAACCCCTTGACTCTTCGGCAGCGTTTGATGACCAGGCGCCCGGGAGGGGGGAGTGCAGCGTTTGGCCTGGGGAGGCAATGCAGGGGCTTGGGCTCTCGGCCTACCCAGGCGCTGGGGGGCATTAGAGCCAGGTGGGCGGGGAGGGGAGGGGGAAGGGCACCGTACGTATAAAGCCTGCTTCCCCAGCGTTAGCCTGAGTGGGCCTTGCCTGGCACCTCTGGGCTCACACCAGGAAGGAGTGTGCCAGGTTTGTAGGTCATGCGGTCAAAGACTTACACAACTCAGAGTGTCTGGGGAGAAAAGCGGCCAGAAGAGCCGGTCTTTTGCGGGACACGACACCGTTCTGGGCTGCAGGGCCTGGACGGGGGCCAGAGGATGGGAAGCGCTGTAGCAGCACCAGGTTCTCAGATCACTCTTCCTGGAGGAGCTGGTTTTGCAGAGCGATCCTCGGACGGCCTCCTCCTCAGCGTGAAATCGGACGCTTGGCTCCCTCCTGCTGAGCAGGACTCAGTCCACCGCTGAGCAGGACTCAGTCCACCGCTGGCTGCAAGGAACTGACGACCAGAGGAAGCCCTTTCTCAATTCGTTCCCACATTCAATTCCATTCATCCCCCACGCCAGGCTAGGACAAAGAATCCAAGTTCACTCTTCTCTGCGCTTCGCCTGACTTAGCTAGGCTCCGACAGAAGAGAATGTGCGAAAAGAATGTGCGTAGCTCAGAGCTGCTCAGAGCTGAACCGTGGCGTCTTGGGGTCCTCTGAGCTTGGCTACTTTCTCGCAAACGTTTCGTTACCTGGGTAGGTAACCTCTTCAGTGCTGGAAAGGCCCGCTGTGCGGGATGCAGCCGCCAAGGACGCCCTGCCCAGAGCAGGAGATCTCTCACGGGGCGCTCGGCACGCACACAACTCTCCAGGAGACCCGGCGAGCGCGTAAGGATGGGCCTCCTCCATCGCATCTGGGAGACGTCCCACCGAGGGGTCTCTGTCCGAAGACCGACGCGGACAAGCCTTCCGTCCTAACCAGGAAATGCCTCTGGCCTGGCTAGGTTAATTAGGTCACCAAAGTATGGTTTTTACCGTGGTTACAG